TGTTGATTTTTTTATAATATTTCGTATTTTCATTGGTCATTCGGAATCCCACTTCATCTTTTTTTATAAATTTTTTATGTTCTTGTTTGTGTTGATTTTTTAAATAATATTTATAGTATTTCTTTAGTTGCAATTGTGATACTTGTTGATTTTACACAAACAATAATTTTCTTTATTATTATTATCATTGTTATAACATTTATGAGACAGCATCGAATAGACATGCTGAAGGAATTAGTCTTGACACAAGAATCTGTGAGCAAAGAGTGTCCATCTTCCCTGCTATTCCTGTTCTTCCAGGCTGTTGTCAAGTTCATAATTATCATTGCATATCATAAGTCATAACATTAATTAATTGTTTGTTTTTTTAAATAAAATAAAATAACACACTTAATAAAACAGTAAAATGTAAAATCAATACCTTCTTTTAGCTGGAAACCTCCACTAAAGTATTGCTGTAAGTTGATTCCAAGCATTGCTTGGTAAAAAATAACTTGCTTCTGCCAGAGCTGAGAGCTGCAGATCTGAGCATGCGCGACCACACCCAAATTTTGGAGCACATGGCAAGCTTCTTTAATTAACAAAATGGCGGCATGCAGCTAAGATGGCTCGATCCAGCAGTCACAGTCATAGGCGGTTGCAGGCCTGGGCATTAGGGGGCAATGCCCAGGTTGACTTTTTGACCAATAATTATATTCATGATTCTGGTGTGGGCATCCAGTGTAAACTGTGGTAGTTCAACAGGCTTCTTTGTTGTTTTATGCTAAGAAATCATCTCAATGAAGTTATAGATCAGTATTGTCCATTTTCCTTGCAAAATTGTATGGAACCACACCCACTCCACACCCACTAATTATTGATGCCCAGGTCAAACCAAATTTCTGCAACCGCCCATGGTCACAGTATCACTTTATCCTCACCTGAAGAATGATCTGATGGGACATGGACCTGCGCATAGACTGTTGGAGTAGATTGGTGTAAGAATTATCCTTGTAGCACCAACCAATACTGAGATACACACCGACAACTGGATTGACAGGACTTCTGACTTGATGATGAAGATGAAAAAAGGTGGCTGAACAAAACGGCCGGTTCGCCGATTTTTGGATTTTCTCTTAGATAAGGTCTAGAGCTACGCTAGTGGTACCAATGGAGTCCTCTGGTCAAGATGAGGTCCTCTAAGAAGTCTGGTAAGCATAGGAGCTCGTTTTCCCGGTATAGCAAGCAGTGGCGGAGCTGGAACTAAACTGATGCCCGGGCCCGGATGTGGGTGTGTCCTGTTTTTAGCTTTTTCCATAGATGCTTTTTAATTTTCTTTGGGTATTTTACTTGAAAATGCTTGCTAATTGCTTATACCGTAGGTCGGGATATATTCGCGGCTGCAATTATTCAGATGAATAGCTGAACACTAAACACGTGGTCTTAATTGTCATAGCAACGCTCTAACAGTTTCCATGGTTTTTAATTAAATTTTTATGACCGCGAATAATTGCAGCCGCGAATATATCCCGACCTACGGTATGCACCTGTATGCACTTGTTAGTACTCTGGTGAGGCTTGTGGTTGGCTTTATCTAAACTTTGGGCAAGAAATTGTTTACATTGCATCTAATGAATCTCATTATAGAGCTTTGATGCCCAGGCCTAGGCCCGTGTGGGCCCGGGTTCAGCTCCGCCACTGATAGCAAGGCTGCAAAAGTCGTGGCAGCCATTTTGTTTGGGGGTGAATCCTACTTAGTAACGCTACCGCGTTACTAATAATAATCAAATAATACAATTAGTATAAGTATAGGCCTGGGAATATCACTGTCACGATATTTACTAAGCTGCCAAGCAAAGCAACAACAATGACAATAATTTCAATAAGATGAAAGCTACACACATTGTAAATGCTATATACATGTACATGTATATGTAAATGCATATTAATATAAAAAAATATGTACTAATTACTTGCACGTAACACTGAATACATGTCACATACATGTATGTGTACATAGGTACATGTAGTCATGTACGTAAGTGGTATAAGTACATTAACGCTTACATCATGAAGGAAGAAAGCAGACGTGAAAGTGCTGTTTTGAACAAGGCGAGATACACCAACTTGATCTTCATTGGGACCATACTGAGTGTTCTCCAGTATATTCCATACCTACATGTACATTATTATAATTATAAAAATATTAAATTTTATTTACAATAAAGGATCTTTGAGCGGAACTAAAGAAGTTGGCTTCATCATCAGACCCATGGAAACTAAAAATAATAATTATATCTACATGTGCATGTATTTTCTCTTTCTCACTCACTTTGCTCTCTTTTTTGCAACATAAGGAGCAGTAAAGAAGTCGGCGTGCTGGAACGGCTTTGGTACTTTAGGATCAAAAAACTCAAAAGGATCACGAATGTGAAGTGTACTAAAGATGTCCCTGTACCAGGACTTCTCTCTACGAGGAAGATCCACTTCCTAAAAGAGAGAGAGAGAGAGAGACAGAGACAGAGAGAGAGTAGGGAAAACTTGATTGTTATCATAATAATTCATTACATACTTGTATTGGCATTCGGATGAGAAGATCTTCAGCTCCTTTCTCAAGTGCTGGGAAAGTTGCATGGACTTTTACAAACCAGGTTTCACCATCATAATACTATAAAATCATAATCAACATAATAAATATAATAATCAAGCATATACTTTAGGATCCTGGTATTCAAATTGAAGTCCTTTCCGTTCAAGGGCCTCGAAATAAGCCTTCCTCTTATCGGCTCTCTTTGCACTACTCTTCTTCCTTGCTTCTTCATCCCCTTTGCCTTTCTTTGCATCAATGAGATCCTTGTAGGTCAAGCAAATATCTTGAAAGAGAAAGAGAGAGTTATCAGCTAATGTTAGTCATGGTCAATACATGTATTCCCTGCCCCTTTAATTACTGGTGTTAATTGCAAGCCTCTGCTTTTATAGTAACAGGAGGGTAGTCAATGGTATGTGCCAATAGTAACTTGAACCAACAAAAGGTAAACTGTCACACACTTGTAATTGACACTAACACAATCACCCGAAATATTTTGTGGTATAAATAACAATTAATCTTGTATGGCTTAATAACTGAGGCAATTTAATCAGTGTAGTAATTTTAAAACACTGTGCTAACGATAGCGTGTGTTAACCCGATGTTAACACGAGAGCAAAATCAATAATTACTGTGCTATGTACACTAACTAAGTGTTGTACAGATAAATTCTTAATTAAATTATTATTGGAGTAATAATATCATTATTATTTGACTTAATTACCAATCTTCCTGACTCCATCTTTAAAATAGACTGTATCTTGGTCTTCGGTGTCTCTCTGGGGAAACAATTATAAAGTGAATTACAAATTTGTTGTGCTAAATGCTTTGGTATTTACATAATTTGTTACTATAAATAAAACCTGACAAAACCAAGTGTTGCTAATAATAGTATGCATACTACAGTGCAGCTGAACTGAGAGCTTTCGATTCAAACTTACTTCTTGCTTTCGCTCTTCAGATGTTAATAGCTGGATCTCTTCAGCTGCAGGCGCATTGCTGCCTGAGGTTAGTCTCTTGTCATCTACTCTAACGCGCTCAGGCTCTGGAGTAGATTCGATGATGCCTTCGAATCCAATGGGCTTATTTCCTCCCTCCTCTAGGCTAGGGTAGACCGGCTCAGCCATTATATAGTTTTGCAGGAGTGACTGTGACTGTTTTTGCTTGCAACAAGCTGTCCCGCTCACTAGTTCTTCAACTTTCCGTCAAGCAATTATATTTGCTGCCGGCCAGGGTCGATTATTTTATAACTTTTAATAACTTGACTGCGCATGCGTAAAACATGCACCCAGTATAAATCACAGTAATTCATGAAAAATGAATAATTTCAGATTTGTTTAGTTATTTTAGCACAGTGATCATATTACAGCAATTTACTTGTCTACAGTGTGGTTTAACTTTCAGTTGGCATTGTGTATATAGAAGTAAATTATTTAAACTAGCATTGATATTAAGAATACAACATAAATCTAATACTTTCAATTTATAACTTTAAACAATGAAACTATTATAATAAGGCTATTATAAGCACTGATTCAATTAACAGAGACAGGTTTATAGCTCTTTCTTTTATGCAGATATAATGCTTTTATTACTCAAATGATGATAGTTATTATAGTTAATCATATTAGATCTACTCCAGCAAGAATGAGAGATTAGAAATTGACCTTGTTATCCGCATATCAGTGACAACGAATTATTACCAAAAGAAAGATTACATAAAATATTATGCAATTTTGCCAAAAGTAATGCACTTGATTTTTTGAAAGCTATTCTCACTATCAAGAGTACATTAGGGCAAAGGGTGTGTAATATCATTAGATCAGAACTCTTTCTTTATTTTTAAAATATCACAATAAAAAATGAGAGCAGAATTACTCTTGCTAGCTTACATTAGCTGAATAGTAGTGCTTCTTGTCTTCTTTGCCTTCCAGAAGAAGAGTCCTCTCGTCCCCACTGCTGTAAGATACAGAGAATTCAGACCTCGCTTTTGGTTGCAATTTATCATAATCCGGAGCTTCTTCACCAATCCCTGATTCTCCTACTGGCTCAGCCATAGCTACTCTTGGCCTCCTCGACTAACTTCCTCAATTTCCTACTAGAGGCGCTTGCCAGTGAGCTACTATTGTCAACGAGTCTTACTGAATGACTCTTACTACAACTGAACTACGACGGCAATGCTTGGTGGTTTGGCTTAAGTGCTGGCAGACTCAAAAATAACTTCACATATTACAATATGTGTTATAGTACTGAGCTAATGCAATATGCAAGCTGTATATATTAGAGTACTGTGAGCATAGTGTGATTGACTTTGCAATGGAATTACTGAGCTATCAGTATGCTTTGAACCTAATAAACAACAGAAAAATATCTCTGTTACCTCTTAAGACAGTGAATAGAATACCTTGTAGTGCAACAACTGAAAACAGAAGGCTAAACCGTATTGATTTTAATAGTTAGGATAAGAGGTAGAAACTAGAAAAATTTAAACCATAAGTTTTACTTCTTTCTTAGAGACACACACAGCAACTGATGTTCATTTTGTTTGTTTGTTTGTTGTTGTTATAAATTGTATTCATTTTAGTTATTTTTGTAACAAAATACTGGCTTATTATGTACTGTGAACAGGCAGAGGCTTATCTGACCGCAAATTTTCTAATTGCAAGCAACAAAACAAAACTACAGGTAAAATTGGAAAGTTAATGGAAAAAAGCAAAGGGCCTCGAAAAGAGCTGTAAAAGATGTCCATGTGGAATGCAGTCTCTGCTGGCTTTCAAATAGTCCAAGAAAAGCTAGATAAAGCATTGGGAGAAGTAAAACAACACGCACACTTTACTCAAAATAAACTACATGTAATAATTAGGAAGGGGAGGAGCAGAAAAGCACAGACACCACCCACCCTGATGATGATAATGTGACCACTGACCAATCGTCAGAGGCTCCAAAAGGTGTCGATCTAGCAGCAGCACTAAAAGAGGCGGAGCAACAGAACCAGTTACTAAATTTAGAATATTCGCGCCTCCTGAGAGAGAAAGAGGTCAGTGACCCCGCCCACCATCATAGTACATGTACATGTATTTGTTTCTGTGTAGGAAGAGTTGTCAAAGTTACGGGAACAAAGTCAGTTGCCGAGTGATGTGACAAAATTACAAACACAGCTAATTGAAAAGGACAAAGAATTAAAAGTATACACAACAAATATACGTTGTACTCTTAGCTTATATTGTATTTTACCCTTATTTGTTGTTTTTGCAGGAGTTAAGTATTAAAGCAGAGTCGAAGTTTAATAAACTTAAAACTCAAGCGAAAACAAAGATATCATCGCTAACTGATGAGCTAGAAAAAGCGAAAGGAGAGCTATCAATGCAACAAGTAATAATAATAATAATAATAATAATAATAATAATAATAATGTAGTAATATTATTAGTATTAATATTATTGCTGATACCTTCTGATGTGTAGAGTTTTAATGTCTCCATGAGTTCTGAAGTTGCTGTAGACGAGACGATGAAAGAGAGAGTCTCAGAACTGACCGAAGAATGCAGACTGGTGAGGGAAAGAATGGAAGAGAAGGAAAAGGACTGGAAAGAGAAATTGGAAAAGGAGAGGGAGAGGAATGCTCAGACAATAAAGGAAAATAAAGTAATGATGATTAGTATCTGTACATTTACATGTGTAATACCATTATGGTGGCTAATTTTGGAGGTTTTAATTTGGCAAAGTGTTATACTGATAACAATAGTAATAGCATTATGCCAGCCACTAGTCTGAGTGATTATGAATGGCACGTTGCCACACTTTTGCCAAATTGAAACCAGCCAAAAAATACCTGAAATTTGGCAATTTGCTGAATTTTCTCCCTCCTTTAACTTCTTAGTACATGCATAATATTACTTAATATATGTTTAGGAATGTTATGATTTGGAGAAGGAGCAACTGAATGAAGAGATAAGAAGACTGAGAGAAGAGCTGTCAAAAAGCAAAGAAGAAATAAGCACTGTCAAATCCAGGAGGGAGCAGATACAGGCAATGCTCAATAAGGAGAAAGAAGAAAAAGGACGACTAGCACAACAAGTAATGACAGCAATAATAATAATGGTGATTATCTACTCTTGATAATAATAATAATAATAATAATAATAATAATAATAATAATAATAATAATAATAATAGTAATAATAATGAACTTGTTGTTACTGTTGTTTTTGTTGTAGGTTTCTGAGTTGTTGAATAAGTTGGAGGAAAGCGAGAAGAGGATGACAAGAGATTTTAGTTTTGCCTCGTCGGAATTTCAGGTTTGTGACACACCCCCTTGCGATTGCCATGGTTACACTGTTTCTGTGGCAACGTAGATTGTTAGCAGTACAGTGTCTCAAGCTGACTCTGAGGAAGAATGGAAAGTGAGTAATTAATTATTAATTATGTGTGTAGGCGTACAATTGTATGTATTCCTATTTCATACATTACGTTGCTGGGTGGATAATAAAAGTGATTTTCCAAGGAATATTCATCATTGTAATGGAATGTGATATGGTTTTACTTGAACAAGTATGATATGGTTGTGGTTTATAACCTGTAATTACATTACTATACAAGTATGCACACATATTTGCAGTATTAACTATTAAGTCATAAGAGATAAAAGAGAAATTACGTATTAAATGACAGTTGTACGTACTACATGTACATTTATACAGTGTAGATATGTACATGTATATGCATGTTACATTATATGTGTGTGTGTGTGTAGGTGGTTAGAGCTAGTGGTAGCAGCAGTGAGGGAAAAGAGACTAGCCCGCCTCCTGAAATATTGTCAATTGATGATAATAATGCAACACAAGGGAGGAACAAAGTGAGGGGAAGTCATAGTACAGGGTATTGCATCAAAAATCACTAAGAGAGAATCCTTCATTTTTATAATTTTTCCTGATGCATATACATGTATTTATGTTGTGTAGAAAGTTTGAACTGATTTTGATCGAAATTGGATTTTTATGAATTTTTAAATTTGCTCCAAAATCGGGTCAAAGTCCCTGTACTATAGTACAGGGTCAGTGGCCAAATTTTGCCAAAAATGAAAAGGAGAGAATCCTTCATTTTTATAATTTATTCTGATGCATATACATGTGCTTATGTTATGTAGAAAGTTTGAGCTTATTCCGATAAAAAATAGATTTTTTATGAATTTTTAAAATTATTGATGTTTTATTCTTTGTAAAATCCTCATATTTTTCCTCTTTCTCTCTCTCTCTCTCTCTCTCTCCAAAGCCTACATCTCTGAGAAGCACTCCAGAACTTCTAAAAGAGAACAAGGCAAAGATGGAAGAGGAACTGGGAGAGAAAGAGAAAGAGATTAACTCGTTAAAAGAGCAGCTGGGGAAGGCAAGAGAAGACCAAGCAAAGATAACAAAGGACTATGAAGAGAAGATGAAGACTCAAATGATAGAGCAAGAGGCTTCAGTGATTGAAGAGAGTAAGAAATTAAGGGCACAAGTGGCGTCGCTACATGAAGTGATAGCAGAAATGGAAGAGGAACTGGGAGAGAAAGAGAAAGAAATTAACTCGTTAAAAGAGCAGCCAGGGAAGGCAAGAGAGGACCAAGCCAACAGTTTAAAGATAGTGAAAGACTACGAAGAGAAGATGAAGGCTCTACATGAAGTGATAGCAGAAATGGAAGATGGACTGGGAGAGAAAGAGAAAGAGATTAACTCGTTAAAAGAGATAATGAAAGATTACGAAGAGAAGATGAAGGCTCTACATGAAGTGATAGCAGAAATGGAAGAGGAACTGGGAGAGAAAGAGAAAGAGATTAACTCGTTAAAAGAGCAGCTGGAGAAGGCAAGAGAGGACCAAGCCAACAGTTTGAAGATAATGAAAGACTACGAAGAGAAGATGAAGGCTCTACATGAAGTGATAGCAGAAATGGAAGATGGACTGGGAGAGAAAGAGAAAGAGATTAACTCGTTAAAAGAGACGAAAGACTACGAAGAGAAGATGAAGGCTCTACATGAAGTGATAGCAGAAATGGAAGAGGATATAACAGACAGGGATAACAAGATCAAAGAATTGAAACCAGTGACACCGGAATCAGCTCAGACGAAGAGGGAGGAAGAGGCAAAGGAGAAAGAAGAAACTCTTTCGACCTTGATATCAGACAAAACGAGACAAATTCAAGAAAAGTACGATCAACTACTCAAAGAAAAGGAAGAATTATTAGGAACCTTGAACAGTGAAGTGACTAATATGAAGGAAATGCTGGAAGAGAAGGAGAGAGAGATAGACCAGCTTAAAGAAGACAGAGAGAAAAGCAAAGACAGTCTAACAAAATTGAAACAAGAGCTTCGATTAGCAGAAGAGAGCAAGGAGGTTTTACTAGAGAAAGAGGGGGAATATAGAAAGTTACTTGAGGAAAGTGAAACTTTGAGATTAAAAGTTCAAAATTTGCAAGAGGAATTGGTATCAGCAAAAGAAGCTTGGGAGAGAGCAAAAGCTGATTATGAAGTAAAACTAGAGGAAGAATCGAGAGCTCACATAGCGTTACTAAACGACAAAGAGGAAGAGATAAAGCAACTCCAAAATCTCAAATCCACCGAAATAGCGTCACTGCGACGCTTGGTAGAGGAGAAAGAGCTGGAAGCTGCTAAGAGCATGAAGAAGGTTGAAGAAGAAAAGGAAGCTTTGCTAGTGGAACTGAACCAAACGAAACATGATGTACAGCAACTTGAGGGCCAGAGGGAAATGGAGAGGACAGAGAAGGAGGAACTAAAAGGAGAAGTGAACCGACTGGCCGAATCAAGCTTGACGTTTTCAGCTGACTCGGCGAGATGTCGCGAGAACGTACTCCAACTTGAGGGAGAGTTGAAAACGATAAAAACAGAAAAAGATAAACTTCAAAAGAGACTCGAGAAGAGTACAAAGAACGAGAGAGAAGCAAAGAGAGAGTTGGAGGAGAGAGGGAGAGAGCTGGAGGCAGTGAAGGAGAGGAACGAGTCACTGGGCACAGAGCTAGAGAGATATAAAAACGAAACGGGAAGAATTAACAATCAGTTCTCATCAGCAGTAGAACTGCTTAAACAAGATAATCTCAAACTAAAGGTAAAACACATCAAAATATTTATCCTATGCATATGTACATGTTACTTTAAAATAGGCTGTACTGTACATGTACAAGAGCATATGTGTTATAATCATTATTGTTTTATTTTAATTTTGTGTTGTTGTTTAGGGTGAATTGGAAGGAGTGAAGACTGAGAAACTAAGGCTAGAGCACACTGTTGACTCACTGAGGGAGCAGATAAAAGAAGAGGGAGAGAGGAGTCTTAGGCTTGCTGATGAAAACAGACAAATTAAAAAAGAAATGGAGACAATTTCGACAAAGTAAGACTTTGTTATGACAACAGCACTCCCCAATGCCTAGTTGTAATTAACCAATGAGTTCAAATTCACACTTAACTTACTACAATCGTTAAAATACCTTTGCCTCATTTTATAATAACGTTGTTTGACTTCTCTCCCTCCCTCCCTCCCTCTCTCTCTCTCTCTATTCTAAGGTGTACTAACCTAGAAGATGAGAGAAGCAGCCATTATCAGAGGATATCAGAGCTGACCCTATCACTAAGCACACATCAAACATCAATAGAGTCACTCACCAAAGAGAAAGAATCCCTCTCACTTGAACTCAATTCAACACTTCAGAACACTCAGTCGCTTGAAACGAGGGTCATGGAACTAACCAATCAGATTGTAGCATTGGTGAGAGATAAAGAGAGTTCGGAGGAGGCAGTGAGACAGTTGCAGCGCTCGTACGCCGGACTGGAGAGAGAAAAGGAGGAAACTGAGATTAGAATCGAGTCCTTAAAGACTCAGTCTCTATTGCAAAAAGGTTGGAGCAAAGAGAGAGAAGTAAGCATAAAAAATAAAAGTGAAATTAGAGAAATAATATCTTCTCTTTCTCTCTTAGTCTCTTTTGGCTAGGCTCTCAGAGTGTCAGTCTCAGCTATCAGCGAATGAGAGTGAAAAGGGAGCGTTGAAAACTAGCAAAGAAGAACTTGAGGCAAACGTTGAGTCACTATTGAATGAAAAAGAGGAATTGAAGGCTTCACTTGCGAATTCTGAAGGTTTACTATTATTATTATTGTTGTTGTTGTTGTTGTTATTATTATTATTATTGGTGTTTCGTTGAATATTGTTTTTTCTTATTTTTAAATAGTTGAGAGAAGCAAATATCAAATTGAAGCCAGAAGGATAGTAGATCTAGAAGGAAGGTGAGTGATACTGAAATGAAGCATTGTGCCAAGTGATGCCAATGCCAATAGTAATCTATAGTAAGGAACATTGCAGCTGTTGAATGAATTATAAAATATCATTTTTAAAGAAAGCTTGAATAGAAGGTGGAATTCTCTGTACATGAAATTACATATACATGTACATGTACATGAGTTGTACACAAATTATGTACATGTACATGTACATGTACATCTACATGTACATGTACATGTACATCTACATCTACATCTACATCTACATGTACATGTACATGTACATCTACATGTACATGTACATCTACATCTACATCTACATGTACATGTACATGGGTATAATCTAAAACAACAATACAATGCAACATGTGTTTTATGATTTATTTATTTATTATAGGTTGTCTACTTTGTTAACGGAGCAATCCCGATTGCAAGTTGAGCTGGAGTCAGAGAGGAACAATAAAGACAAGACTTTACAAGAATTGCAACAGCTTCGATCAAAATCAATGGATTATGTAATCAACATGGAGGAACAAACCCCACCCACTACTAACGAAAGTATTTGTACAATAATATAATAATAATAATAATAATATTAATGTATTTTTAGGTAGTAATGGTAATGCTTCAGAATGGCTGAGGCGGTTTATCAAAAATCCAAAGTACGATGATAAAAATTAAATGATTTTTATTTAAAATTTCTTCCTCTGTAGCATCGTATTACTTAGGCTGGTCAGGGCTACTCCACAGACAAAGCTGCTATTTTTAGGATATCTAATTTTATTGCATTTGATTCTGTTTTATCTCATGTTTTTTGCATAATAATAACATTTATTTCTTCTTCTAATAATAAAAATTAATTATTATTCATGACGTTAATAATTCAATTCCACTCCTATCAAAATGGCGTCTTATGGTAAGGTACATCTACATGTATCAATTACATGTACACAGTGATTTTATCATTATTAATCATAGGATAAAGCTTTATTAATTATTATTATATTGTTCATAGTATCAGTCTCTATTTGTGGGAAAGGTGAGACTAAAAATATAAATATTAAAATAGAAAAAATAATTTATATATTTATAGTAAAGATAGGCCGAACACTGGGCATCGAACATTACAATTGCTATGGAAACGTTTTGGGGCGTGTCTCACTGATTCCGCCAGCTAACAATACGAAATTATTAAAAGTAGAACAATTTATTATTAATTTCAATTGTTTGACGTAAACAATAGATAATTCAAAAGGCTTTAAGGACGGATCAAGCGATTAATATTACAATAATAAATGAAATGGTTAGCTAATATATGAATTACTTTAATCTAATTGATGTACATGTACATGTACCACAAGCACTACCGTGTAGCGGAAAATTTGGAGGGGATTAAATTTGGCTTTTTAATAGCCATTCGCCAAAATAAAATTCACCATTTTGAGCCATTATACACATACTCAATGGCACGTGGCCACTAATTTGCCAAATTAAAATTTGCCGATCACAAAAATTTAGCAATTCGTCAAATTTAATTCCCTCCAAAATTTTTTGCTATACGGTATATGTACATAAACTGCATGTACTAGGTGAATTATTATTCAACTGATGGTCATACGATTAAACGAATACTCTATCAAGATAAGACACTGTGTTATGACCCACCCATTGAAATAGGACGACTGCTCACCCTTCGATATGCTACCATGGCAACAAGCCCCGCCTCTAGTCTATTATCTGGAATCGTGACAATAGACGTTGATAGTCATAAAAACTATTATCTTCATAGCCACACCCAAGACAATCACGAATCAATGTCCGTATATGAAAGATGGAATTTTAAAAGGAATTATTCTAAAGTTTCAGAGTGTGAGATGTGTTGTACTATCGTAAATCAATCTGATTGGCTGCCTGTTACTATAGCAACGTTTAACATATGGAATGTAAACAGTACGAGTGAAGAGGATTCTAAAAAGAGATTGCACAGACTTTGTAAAGTAAAGATTTAATAATTGTCGCATTGATTTGATTTGACAGTGCTCCAAAAGCATTTTCAATTTTTTTATTATTAAAATTGGCCATTTCCTGAAAAATGCCCTGTACTATAGCCCATGGTTTTTTCCAAGAAATGGCTCCAAAATCACTCCAAATTTTTATTACATTTTCTGATACATATTGATGCCCTTATGCTATGTAGAAAGTTTGAGCTGATTCCGACTTCAATTTTTCAAGTTACGGCCATTTTAAGAAAATGCCAAAATTCTGAAAAATACCCAAGGCTATAGCCCATGGTTTTTTTCAAAAAATGGCTCCGAAATCACCCCAAATTTTTATTACATTTTCTGATTCATATTGATGTCCTTATGCTGTGTAGAAAGTTTGAGCTGATTCCGACTTCAATTTTTAAAGTTACGGCCATTTTAAGAAAATGCCAAATTCTGAAAAATACCCAAGGCTATAGCCCATGGTTTTTTTCAAAAAATGGCTCCAAAATCACCCCAAATTTTTATTACATTTTCTGATACATATTGATGTCCTTATGCTGTGTAGAAAGTTTGAGCTGATTACAACTTCAATTTTTCAAGTTATGGCCATTTTAAGAAAATGCTAAAATTCTAAAAAATACCCAAGGCTGCTTTTTTTCAAAAAATGGCTCCAAAATCACCCCAAATTTTTATTACATTTTCTGATACATATTGATGCCCTTATGCTATGTAGAAAGTTTGAGCTGATTCCGACTTTAATTTTTCAAGTTACGGCCATTTTAAAAATGAGCCATTTCCTGAAAAATACCCTGTAGTATTATTAGTCCAATTCTTTTTTTTCAAAAAATGACTCCAAAAATGCTTAAATTTTTTATTGCATTTTCTGATCCTGCACTATGAATGATGGTATTTGTCTGCTTGTGAAGTTTATGAAAAACCTACCGTATAAGACGATTTGTTGGCGGGAGTTTTCTTTGGCGGTTTTGTGATGGCTAGCTTATTGGCGGATTTAATATTGGCGGTTTCTAACAATTTAATTATATCCCCACCCTTAGGCGGGGTTTTACTTAAGCGGTTGTGGTTCGTGGAGAACATTATTATCAGAGAAAGACTGTACCTTTTCTGGAAGATTGTATTCTTTATCACCTGATTTAGAGACTGGCTTAAAGAAACATAGTAAAGCCATGTTAGCTAGCTTCTTTTAACTAAAATTAATGTGGGTGTGGTCACACGCATGAATGGAATTATTGCTTGCGGATTTTATTTTGGCGTTTTTATATAAATCCGTCAATCTGCCAATATAAAATCCCCGTCAACATTTCATCTTATACGGTATTTCTGCTTGAACTATGATTGTTATTGTGATCCTTCAGGTTATATCATCAATTGACATTATTGGGTTCCAGGAGGTCAGAAATATAATGAAAAAATCAAAGACAATATCACAAATACACCAACTACACAAATCACTGCCTAAACATCAAGTATAGTTATATTGCTTTTTAAATATTCTATTCCATTCCTTTCCTATTCATTCCATTCCCATTCATTCCATTCCTTGTCATTCCATTCCAATGTTAGTTTGTATATCAGCCTGCAATGTTAATGGGTCTTAACCCAAGGGAAGAAGAGGGTGTGGCCATCTTTTCACGCTATCCTATAGTATCAACCAATACTATCCTATTGCCATGGTAGCCACAAACCAGTCACAGGACTCTCTCACATAATTACATTAATTCCACTAGGAACAGAACTGATCCTAGTGATTTCCATCAAAGGGTTTGTCTACATTGCACCATTGCATTGCCTAATGACAAGAAGGTGATTCTAATAATAATGCTCCTTTTTAAGTCCCTAATTTTTAATTTTAGCTGGAAGTTTTCAATACTCATTTGTCTCTTAGTGAAGATGCACAGATGAAGTGAGAAAGAGAGAGAGGATTCTAGTAATATTATTATTATTATTATTATTATTATTATTATTCTAGTTCAGTAAAAACTATTATTAAATATGTACAAGACTCTGATCTTAAAGGGGATATAATAATAATGGGAGATTTTAATAATGAAGACAGCTCTACAGTTATCAAGTAAGTTGTTGAATAATGTTTTTTTGGTATAATTATTGTATTGTACAGGTACTTGGATGAGAAACTAAGCAAATTAGGATTTGTTGATGTATGGTTGAATAATAATAATAATAATAATAATAATAATAATGAAGGTAATACATTCTGTACCTTAAATGAAGAGCTGACAAAGAGAGTGAGTATTTTAAAAATTGATTTTTAATCCCGTGACCCTCTTCTTCTCAGATTGATTACATATATGTACAGTTAAAGTCTCATCTATATATTAATGATACATATTTAATTGGATCAAAGTGAGTCACCTTTTCTACTTTTTTTAGTTACCTCATTCTTTATTCATAGACCAGGGTCTCCTCCACTCTCTGATCATCTTGGATTGGCTGTTCAGATCAATGTTAACTAAAAAATAAATTATCAGATGATTCAGTTTATTATATAAGAGCAAATATACACATATATTATTATCATCATCTTTATTTATTTTTTAAAATAAGGATTGAAAATTTTACAAATCCCCCACTCTTTATTTCTCCACCCACGTGACTTCACGTGTGCTGCCACCCACTCGATCACGCCTACAATCATTATTAACAATTTAACCAGTCAACAGAGGAAGAAAGGAGAGGTGGTTTGTGGAGAAAGATGTCCTTTGATAGAGATATTGACAGCGGGTACGACGGTAGAGACGAGGAGACTGTTACTAGAGAAGAAGATAAAAACGAAGTCATTGTAGAGAAACCAGTGGAAAATGTAGAAATAGAGGAGGAAGATGAAGATGGAGGAGAGAGAGAAGATGAGAAAATGTCAGAAGAGGAAGAAGAAGAATTGATGTCATTACAGCCGACTGAGGAAGATGAAGAGGAGCCAGTTACACAAGAACATTTCATTGAAGAAGGACAGTCTCCAGAAGAGGAGGAGAGAGAGGAACCATCTCCGAAAGAAGAGGAGGAGGAGCAAGAAGAGGAGGAGGGGTCACCACCACAAGAAGAGGAGGAGGGACAGCAGGAAGAGGAGGAGGAGAAGGTACCGTCTCCGCAAGAAGAAGAGGAGGAGGCGTCCCCACCACAAGAAGAGGAGGAGGGATCGCCACCACAAGAAGAGGAGGAGGGACAGCAGGAAGAAGAGGAGGAGGAGAAGGTACCGTCTCCGCAAGAAGATGAAGACCTGTCACCACAACAAGAGGAGGAGGAGGAGGAGGTACCACCCCCGCAAGAAGAGGAGGAGGAGGAAAATGAGGACCTGCCACCACAACAAGAGGAAGAGGGGAAAGTAGAGGAAGAGGTGCCACCTCCGCAAGAAGAGGAGGAGGAGGGGAAAGTGGAGGATGAGGGGAAAGTGGAGGAAGAGGAGGAGGGATCATCTCCACAAGTAGACAAGGAAATGGTGCAATCTACACAAGAAGAGGCTGAGCAAGAAGAAGAGGTGGTCAAGCTACCTTCTCCAGAAGAAGATCAACAAATTTCTGAAAGTGAAGGGCCTCATCCTCATCAAGACGAGCAAAAACAGGAGGAGGAGGAGTCTAAAAAACAGGAGGAGGAGTCTAAAAAACAGGAGCTGACACAAGAAGAGGACACAGGGTCTCCCCAAGTAAAAGAAACTCAATCTATTCAAACTACTTTTACAATAGACATTGATGTTCCAGCTAACGTCTCAAGTGAAGCCGCTACTAAGTCTCCGCCCACTCAAAAGATTAAAACCACGCCCAAGACAAAAGCGTCACGTAAACCCTCAAAGAAAACCACACCCATTTCATCAAATAAAGAAAATAAGAAAGTCGTCAAGGCACCGACTGAAGTTCAACCCAGCAAAACCACACCCACTTCCTCTCCTAGTTCCTCAAGAGGTTCCCCTAACGTTTCTAGTGCTCGTAAAAGCAGCGGGAAATCATCAGTAAGAGTCTAAGAGATAGTGTGTGTGCACCTGCTAATGAATGTGTATCAGTGTTTATGCCAAGTTTACATGTGTAATTACTACAAATTAGGGTACTCTCCTTCCCTCTCACTTTATCTCTCTCTCTTCCTTTAGTTTAAAGCAACAGTTCCTAAGCCGTTTAGTTTTAGTCTGGATCGGAGGATAGAGAAACGAGGAGAGTACGACAAAAAGATAAGACTTCAACGCGAGGCAATGGAGGAGAGGGAGAGATTGGAGAAGGAGAGAAGAGAGAGAGAGGAAGAAATAGCCAACAAAGCACACAGGAAGTCACTCATACACAAAGTAATAACCACATGCCACCACTCTACATGCACACCTGCATCTCTCCCTCTTTAATATGAGGAGTACATAACTCCATCAATAGTGTAATATGTATTGGATTGCTCTAGTGTAGTGATTCAACATGTGAATAGAGTAAAATTGTATTTTGTTAATTATTGTTATTCACCTCTACTGTACACAAACTTGTTGTACTGCAATAAACAATAAACTGGTATCTGTGTCCACGCCCACTTAGGCTATTGTCATTAATATTGTCTTGTCTTTGTATATAGCCTACTCCAATACAGCAGTATAATCCCATTACTGTTGTGCCCAGTTCAAAGCCATTGACAGTCCCCGACCCGCCAAACCTTTTATTGGGATCCAGAAAAAGAGGTTCGATTAAAAACGGTGAAGGACAACTCAAAGAAGCACTGTAGATACTCAGAAGAGAAGACAAAGACTTTTACACGTAATAGTAACTGTAGATTAATGTATGATACATGTGAGAGGGATGGGGTAGCACTAAACATTATTTTTGTAGAGGTAACTTTCATTTTTAGTTCCATGTCATATTTTGTGTTTTGATATTGTCAAGAAAAAACTTTTAAAATACACTACACATTATAAATAAAATAAAACTGCTATCATCATCATGAGTCAACTATTCAAAAGTATAGTAATTTATTCACATGTGCATGGAGGGCTATTTCCTAAGAGCTAGTGCTGCAGCAGCTGCAACGAGTGCCAAACCCGACGCCATAACCTGTCCCGATATTTTACGACTTCTCCCTTCTCCCTCTCCTTCCTCTTCTTTCCCACCCTCTGAGTCTTCATCATTCCTCTCTCCATTCGTGCTATCATGCCCTGCCTCACTACCTCCTGATTTAGACTGAAGAGGAGGCGAAGGAGACGAGTAATAAAATACGGCCCCTCCTCCCTCTCCTCTCTCCTCGCAGTCGCTCTCCCTAATGTTAGCCAGTAATGAGTTCCTCCTACCATTACCAGTAGCACTACCAATAGTCCTTACGCTGCTTGATACAGAGTCTGAGACTGAAGATTGTGAGCTAATTGATAACACCATTGGCCGAGACAGTGACGGGTTATTCCTGTTATCCTGGAGCATTTTCTTTGCCTCGTTAGGTGATGCTACTTCAACAACATTCGGGGACATGTGTTCTCGGCGAGAAATGGGCGGGGTCTCACTTCGTTGCCCCGGAAACCACAGTTCCCACCTTTTGCTTTCTTGTCCTTCTTCTCCTGGTTGTTCTTCGTCTATTAGTACTTCTGCACTGACTGCTCTACGGAGCGGAAAGTCATTCTTTCTGTCGTGTATTTTGAACTGCTCAGCCTCAATGTCGCCATCATAGTCATAGTCCATTCGTATTTCAGGATTGTCGAATGGAGTATCTCCAATCCAATCCTAAATAGATAATGATAATAATAGAAGGTGATAATGGATAATAATAATAATACACGCAATACATTCATGCAATAATATAATGATTGGTAATATAAATAATAATATACATGTACATGCAATACAATTAATAATGATTGATAATACAAAATACAATATATGCCATATATTCCACAAGGATTAAATTTTGTGATTTTCGCATTTGGATAAATTCATAAAATTAAAATCCGCAAAATAGCGTGCTGATTGTATAGTAGGCGTGGTAATTATATTGAAATTGCAAAATTTTTATCCACGAATACAAAATGCAGCCAAATCGTGAAACTTTATACCTGCGAAATATGTTTCATTCAATGCCCTATTTATAATGTCAATGCTATTAATACCGTATAGCTTGAAATTTTTGTGGAATGTAAATTTCGTGGTTTTCGTGGTTGTGGGGCTTCCCATGAAATTGAAACTCAGGAAATCATTGCATCCCCTTACAGGCTATGTAAACTTTCAGCCACAAAAATTAAACCACGAATTGCCCCACTAGGAGCAAACCACGAAAATATCGACCCACGAAAATTTCAAGCTATACCGTACTTACTATTCCAAACTGTGTAACATCCTCTATTGCCTGGGTCGTATATTCGTTAATTACTTTCTCCAAATTTGGTAACTTCTCGTACAGCCTATACCCCAGCCATGTCACTAGCAGTGACTGATCCTGTACGTATTTTGCTTGTAATGAGAGCCATCTCGAAACTCTTTTAAACTCACTGTACATTAGTTTATTTTTCATTGCTTGGACCATTATTAAGCTTATCGCCTCGTTCAACTTGTCGTGGTATTTTTCATCAATCAACCGCCCGACCATTAGTATCTTGTAGGCAGCGTAGTCCTCTGGAGTGGGGGCGTGGTCCAATTGCTGACAGTACTCATAGAACTGAGGATCATCCAGTGGAAGGGAAGGTGAGGTCTTGGCGGTAGCCCCGCTCGGTTTTTCGTCATTTTCCGATGTTTCAGGAACCGATTCGAGATTGGGATCATGAATTTGGGTGTGGCTATGAGTGTGGCCCATAGAGTGATCACTGGCTGATAATGGATGAGAGAAATAAGTGTGAATGGGAGAATCAGAGAAATCGGGAGAAGCAATCGACTGACGAAAGAAATTTGTATTAGAGTGGAAGGCAGTCGTTTCTGAGCTAACTCGCACAAATTTTTTAGTATGAAGGTCAGGCTCACTAGAGGAAGGAGATAAGTCGTCTTCAATGGCCATCATTGAGTGTATCAGTGAGCTTTGGGACTGAGAGAGGTCTAGTTCTTCTCTTTTGTTGTTATCATGGACGTTGGTTGTTTCCTTACTCTTCACTTCTTCCTCCTCCTCCTCCTCTTTTTCCTGTTCCTTTTCATCATTTCCTTCAGTTTCTCTCAAAGGCCTTCTCTTTGATGTCCTCTCTCCCGATTCTTCTTTGGTTTCTGTCATTCTTTCTCTCTGAACTCCATCAGCTTGCACAATTCTTTTAGCCATCACTCGGCTGCTCCTACTGGTAGTGGTACTAAGTAAAAGTGGAGGCGAGGAATGAGATTTAAGTCTATAGGAATCAGTGATTGGAGGAGGAGGAGAAGCAAAAAGTAAAGGAGCTGGTTCCAATGCATCAGCAACGGCATCACTAGTTATTGCTTCACTAGTTGCTGATACAGTAGAGTCATTGTGTACACTGATAAAGCTAGTTTTGAAGCTGCTTCCACATGCTTCCTCAGTGATGGTTTCAACCTCTGGTTTACTAGAGGTAGTAGCTATCCCTAGTAATTCTGAGGGCAGAGATAAAGTCATATCATGTTCGGTTTCTTCAGAATTGCCAAGATGACCTGCTTCCCATGAAGACGATTTCTCTGGTGTATCTCTATCATTGCTTGAATCGTGCGAGAATCTCCTTGTCTTGCTGCTGGCTGATATGTTCTTAATCTGTTCAGTTGTGAGTCGATCTAGAACATTCTTTCTTCTCCTCGCGGCCACTTTGAAAACAGTGCTCACAAATAGTTTAGTCTTGACCGATTTCTGTGACTGATAGCAAGAGGAGGCTGAAGAGGTTATTAGGACGTTGCTGCTAGAGGCTGCTGTGCTTGAGGCTGGAGAGAGAGGAGGAGGGGCAGGGTCTCGCAGGGAAAACAACTGCTTGGCATGATGCACCAATTCTTGTTGGTCTTCTTTTAATGTCTTCTGTACAACATGCATATCTCTGGAGAAGAGAGAGAGAGAGAGAGAGAGAGGGAGAGGAAGAGAGGGCAAAGGAGAGGTGAAGGTTTGTGTGAAGTTAAACACTATAAAAGTGTAATGAAATAATCAGTTTCCTATCTACAGTAGTATTAATAAAAGGAAATTAAGGGAATTACCATTACTTAATGGTACATGACAGTCAACAATCTAATAACATGCTCATACTCTTTATAGTAAAGAAAATATTGGAATTGTGAAAAAATTCCGAAAACTGAACAATATTTACACATAATCTGCACAGTCATTGAGCTTATATGGGGGGGGGGGACAATAATTATTACATCACTCATTTCATTCTATTGGGCTTGATTACAGAAACAAGACAATGATATACCTATATCTGCTTACTTTAATTCATTTAATTCTTCTCTTTGTTGTACGTGTATGCGTCCCAGTTTTCCTCTGTCAGACTCCTTCTGCATATGCCCCAATCCATCCCAACCAACATACACCAGTTTCTTGTTGTTGGTCAGCAAGGAGGCTTTATTGCAGACAGCAGCTGCTAATGGAGCCCAGACGTGAGAATGGTGAAGAGTCTTTGTCACAACGGCACTCTCTTTGACAACGCTCAGTTCTGCCTCGTTCATTAGTCTTTGCTTAGAGAGGAACAGGTCGGTTTTAGTATCCTTTAACTCTACAGACACGTACAGGCCAGATTCGATCGTAGCGTCAGACTCAGCTGTAGGGTATTTCTCTTGAGGGAAACTACATGCATCACTCATCTTGAGTTACTTTTTATGTCTTTTTACTATCAAAGCTGCTGAGGTATGAAAACCACTCCTGCCAGACGAGCCCCACCCATCAACACCCACGCATCGACTAGGAGGAGCTAAAAATGGCGTCAAATGAAGCGGTATCCTTGAGTCCTGGTATCATATACCTCAGTAGGATACCTCCTTATATGAAACCAAATAAAGTGAAGCACATATTCTCACAGTATGGTGAGATAGGTCGAGTGTATCTACAACCAGAAGGTCTGCTAGTAATTAATTTAATATTAAAAACAATTATTTCACTTTTTATGTCCTTTTTTTTTTATTTAAAAATGATGATAATAGATCCTGCCGTTAGAAAGAGGAGAGTGAAATTTGGTGGGAACAGGAAACAGAACTATACTGAAGGATGGGTCGAGTTTAAGGACAAAAGAATAGCAAAGAGAGTAGCCTTGATGCTTAACAATACCAATGTTGGTGGAAAGAAGCGAAACTACCACCATGATGATCTATGGAACTTGAAATATCTCTCGAAATTCAATTGGACCCATATCACAGAAAAAATAGGTAAAATAAAATTTACCTTTATAACTATGATTACGTGTGTATCTAATGTTGTTTTATCAGCATACGATAGTGCAGTGAGAAAGCAGAAATTGCACACTGAAGTCTCTCAGGCTAGGAAAGAAATTGATCATTATTTGCAAGCAGTGGACAAAAAGAAAGTTAAAACAGCTATTCTAGAGAGGAAGAGAAAAGCAGGAACACTTGATGAGGAAGAAGAGGTACTGGAGTCTTTACTTATTCATTGCTGCTATTGTTCTTTATAGGGGAGTAAAATAACTAGAAAAGTGAAACAAAGAAAATTGAATGAGTCCGAAGAGACAGGAACTACGAATTGCTTGAGTGACAAAATCTTATCAAAAATATTAAGATGATCATTGTGTTGTACAATAATAATACTAATTACAGTACAAAACTTTTTTGAGTTTGCATTTAAATGAGGGAGAGATGAGAGCATAACAAAAAATCAAACTTTTATTATCATTTGGTTACGCATGTCCTTGTGTCCATCTCCTTCCATTTCAATCCTGATTAGGCTGTTCAGCTGTCATACGGGAAGCCAATGAGCTCTCTGGAGCCATCCCAGCAAGAGACTGTAGCAGCGTCTGTACAGCTGGATTAGAATCACCTACAGCAAGAGTGATACAGTGACAAGCATCAGCCAGGAGCCTCTCTAGCTGTTGAATGCGCTCCTTCAAATCCAAATTCTCTTTTTTCAACTTATCGTATTCTTCGTTGCTGACTCCACCAAAACTACCGGGACCAGAGCTAGAGTAGCCGGGATTACTAATAAAAGGTGTCTGGCCAGGAATCCCCTTATTACCCTGATAACTAACAATCTGCTTGATCTCCTCTTCACTCGGATGGTAGAATTTACAAGTGGACCCACGACCACAGATACCCTTTACGTAATCACGACAAACATTATCTGCAATCGCTTTGAGGGCGGAGTCAACTGGAGCCCCACCCACTTTATCGCCACGGAGATGCGTCGGAAGGAGACCAGTCTGAACGAAATAGTCTTCGTCCTCTTTTAAGGTGTGTAGCAGTTTACAACTGGGTCTGTGACAACCGGTTTCTTGATGGTCATGGCAGAACAAAGAACGGCTCAGGCAAACCCTCTCATCTTTTTCTTCAACGCACGTAACGTGACGATACTGACAATTTGACCCACGGGTGCATTGACTACGTAGGAAATCAATACAGATATCACAGAAAAACATCTTGGACATGTTCCTAGAGCAAAGGGAGTCGCAGAAGTATCCCTGCTCCACAAACACTTTTTGCTCGTCAAAGTTTGCATGAATGTACTTGCAGTACTGTCTAGGGCACCTCTTGTTTTGGAAGTCATGACAGAACAAGTTTTTAACGATCGCCTCCCTGTCGTCCATGTCCTCTACGACGTCTACATGAATCAGGCGACAGTTTGATCCTTTCATGCACGTACGCTTCAAGAAATCAACACAATAATTGGAATATGTGAGTGCTTGGGTGACCCCACGGCTCTGAGACGGGTTGCCGTAGCGACTGTTCCCTTGACGATTCTGGGGAATATCCCATTCTCGCCAGTTGTTGTAATCGTAAGGATAAGGCCCCCCTCCTCCTCCTCCTCCCCCTCCATAATCATAGGACTGTTGCTGATAAGGAGGAGGGTAAGGATTGTACCCTCTACTTGGACCGCCCCCACCCATTCCATATCCTCCTCTCCCTCTCATCATGGGCCCTCCCCTTCCTCCTCCTCCTCCCCTACCCCCGCCCCTCCCACCACGTACTTCGCTACCGAAACTCGTGTAACGAGACTGCGAGGATTGGTCCTCCGCTCGGTCAAAAACAGTTGCCGGTATTACGCCCGTCAAAAGGAACTCGTCTTCCTCTCGTCGCGTCACATGGAGGAAACGACACGTCCCACGTGAGCATATGCCACGGTTTTGAAAGTCGTGACAGAACTTTGCTTTAGCCATTGTCTCTCTTTCATCTAACGAGATGACTCTATCTGTGTGCGCTTTGTTGCAGCGCGGGCCTTTTGGACAGAAGCCACGTAAATGGTCGACACAGACGCTCATGTTCATTAGTTTTCGCTTCTTCGTGAGGGGGTCGGCATAATCATCTATAGGTAAGGACCCAACATGATCATAGTGATCATAATATTCGGGATTCACAAATCCACCACCAGACGCCATTTTGATTTTATTTTAATTGACCAAAAATTTGACTTTTAAACTGCGCATGCGCAATAGAGAAACTGGAATCATGAATAATTCATTAAGAGGTTGTGCAGTTGTTCAGCTCCGCCTTCTTGCATGGTCCTTGTCTCCTTGCTTGTCAGCCATAATGGTGAGTAAATGTGAGAGATCTTTGTAAATCAATTTATGCATACATTTTTCTTTAGCTATAATAGTTGTAATACCTTATACTTTAATTGCATTTTTTATGTGGGTAGCTATAATGCCCAATTCATTTGGATTTATTTGTACTTTTATTTATGAAGGTAAACGTACCCAAAACCAGGAAGACCTTTTGCAAGATCTGCAAACACCATCAAACCTTTAAAGTAACCCAGTATAAAGCTGGAAAAGCTAAGCTCTACGTACAAGGTGGGCGAGTCATAATTTTAAATGATAATTTTTTGTACGATTATATCAATAACTATTTTAAATTTTTTTTGAGTAGGTAAGAGAAGATACGATCGCAAGCAAAGAGGATACGGTGGTCAAACTAAGCCAGTTTTTAGGAAAAAGGCAAGGAGACTGTTTATATCACACGTGTAGTTATTAGGCTAAGATAATTAATAGGCCAAGACCACTAAGAAAGTTGTTTTAAGGATGGAATGTACGACGTGTAAAAAGAAGACTCAAGTTCCTTTGAAAAGATGTAAACATTTTGAATTAGGCGGAGACAAGAAGAGAAAGGTATATGTTACTCTTGTCTTGTTTTTACCTGATGATTGCTTTGTCTTTTGTTTAGGGACAAATGATTCAGTTTTAAGTTATTCTACATTTGTTATTATGTTAACGATAATAATAACTAATTGTAATGTGGTTGTATGGGGGTTGTCTAGAAAACTAGGATACATAACATTATGTCTAGAATGATATAATATCAATGATGATCAGCAATTTTTATGCATATGAATGAAGTACATATCATCAGTATGACCACTGACCACGACACGCCTACTTTCAAGTGACAGTGTGCAGTCTGTGCACTTGAAAAATGGCAGGTACAAAGGATGTATTCGTCTTCCTTGTCGTTATTGGCTCGTGTTTGACCTTTGGAATATTTCTCTATACAAGATACGTTCCATACTCAATGCCAACAATAAAAGATGCCGGCATTCAATTGAGTGATGCCATTACAAAAGAAGAAACAACATGTCCGCCTCCCCTAGGTGTCAATCTATCCTTAGCTTCCAAATTGTCTGGCTACACACCGCTAAGCTATCATACAAACTACTCGAGGAATACCTTCACCATAGTAATGCCAACTTATGGTCGGAGTGCTCAGTTACCCCAGATATTGACTCACTATTGTGGCATATCAAATGTTGCTAAAATATTGGTATTGTGGAATAATATTGGGGTCCAAGTCCCTGGCCCAATAAAGGATTTCAAATGTCAAGTACCGCTGAAGATAAAGATTATGGAAGAGAATAAGTTAACATCTCGTTTTGTACCTTACCCTGAAATAGAGACTGAAGGTATCCAAAATTAATAATTGTTAATGATGGTTTCAGTCTTTCTCTTTAGCAATATATGCAGTTGATGATGACAGGATGGTCGACCCTGTTGGTATGGAAAAGGGTTTTGAAGCATGGAAGGTATTACAATTAGTTACAGTCTCTCATTCTCTCTGGCTCAAATAGGCATTCCCTCATCTTATTGTTGGGTTTTGTGAAAGATCTCACTCATTTAAAAATGGTCGATATAAATACAGTGGCGGCAAATCTTATTCAATGATACTCACAAACTCTGTATTCTTACACAGAATGTATCTTAAAATGTTCACAGAGTCCCTTCCACATTCTATTCATGCTTTCATAGATAAGAACATGAATGGAGAGGATATAGCAATGAATGCCATGGTTGCTGACTATCTTAAAAAGTTAGACAGACCGCAGTGCCCCTGCGTAAAGGTAAAAGGCTCAACTAAAGAGATTCACATGAAACCAAGTTAGTTCTATCTTTGCTTTGCTTTCATTCTCTTTTTATACAGCTAAACCTGGTCAGTATGTAAGTCTATATCATCGTGGAAATCACATGAAAAAGAGAGATGAGTGCTTAAACTTGATAGCTAATGAATACAAATACATGCCTTTAATACCTTGTAAATTTGTAATAACATGACAATTTATCCTCACAGTACTCATTTTATCATTATTTAACAAAATTAATAATTAATTTTTATCTATAATGAATATCTGTCTATTGCTAAGTTAAATATCAAGGCTCTTCATTTTTCTTTTCCCATTCCTCTTCTTTCTGTTGAAATAAATAGCAAGCTTTGTCATATACATAAACATGTACTTTTAAATAAATAAATAAATCAAAGATGCAAGCTATGTTTATTATAATTATCATAATCTACTCAATAATATCAACATTAATGCTTATAAAGCCACATTTATTTATTTATTTATTTACAGGGGTGGTTAGTCTTACCATTGATTCAATCATAAGTACTTTCATAATGTACTCAACGTATTCCCTATTCTGCTTTCTAATTGGACAGCGATCTCCTATTATCGTCACAATGTCATTTTTCTTGTTGTATCTGTGATCGGCTAGTTTTATCAATTTTGTTCTGGCTCTTTCTGGAAGTTTAAGATCTGAGACTTTAAACTATATAGTGTACATGATAATTTAATCCCAGGGTTTCTCACAAAGCGTGCTAATTGAGCTACACAGCATCTTTCATGCAATAAAACTCTACATGATATTAAAGGCACTTTGGTCTGATTTTGGAGCAACTTAAAAATTAAAAATCCAATTTTGATTGGAACCTGCTCAAAATTCTTACACAGCATAAGAACATGTATATGTATCAGAAAAAAATTATAAAAATTAAAACTCTCTCCTAGACATTTTAGCAAAATTTGGCCAATGACCCTATACTATAGTACATGGCCTTTGGCCCAATTTTTGAGCAACTTTAAAAAATCATTAAAAATCTAATTTTGGTCAGAATCCACTCAACATAACATAAGTACATGTATACACATCAAAAATAAAATAAAAAATTCTCTCATAGAAAAATACCCTGCGCTATAGTGGCTTTTGGAGCAACTTTAATCATTTGCTGACAAGAAGCTGAGAACTAAGCCAAGACCCTGTGGGAAACCCTGCTTTACCCTGAGTTTAACTATCCGTGATGATTCATCACGTATGTCAGAAGAAGCTGATAATTTGTTGATAGATGATACTGTGATAGGAAGTCGAGGGAGTTCTCTTGGCCAGTCTGTGCATAACTCTAGAAAGTATAATATGCTTCAAAATTAAGATAAGTCATATCTTTTCATCCAAATCAGCTCAAACTTTCTACATAGCATAAGGACATCACTACAAATCAAAAGATTTAATAAATATTTGGCAGAGTGAATTGGCAGAAAATTTCTGCATAGCACAAGGGCACCAATAACTATCAAAAAAGATATTTTTCTGCCATTCACTTACCCTTTAGTGCCACACAATGTTTCTCGATAGCAGGAGGTGTCAAATGAAAAAAGTTTGGTATCTGAAGTGGAACAATTATTATAGTATTAGTAGATAATAATGATGATAGTACTTACCTTAAGTAATTCATGGTTTCCCTCAACAGGAGGGGGTACCTCCCCTTTTGGAGGACGACCCATACGAAGGGACAGGGGGATGAGATAAGGGTCGAAAGGTCTTGCTGTCTGACAGACTGAACTCCATTCAACTCCTTCATTAAATTTGTGGGGCTAAAATTTTTTAAAATCGTTTTAAAAATACGCACAATTGGAATACCTTCATTTTATTATAACTAATTAAAGGTTCAAAAAACCTTGGTTTCTTATCATCTTTCTTATTATGTGTCCTTGTCCCTTTAAATATTAATAGTTTATTCTATTCTTAGTCTTTCAATGTTTACCTTTTCTAAACCCCCTTACAGGTCCTCTATTAGTACTAGCCCCTGTAGCATATGATCTACGGCTCCAGTTTATCCACTTGAAGCATAAAGTGTCCTTTAGTAATGGAGGCCTGAGTGCCGCCATTTTATAATTATCTAGTCCTAAACCACGCCTACAGGCACGCCTCCAGCATCATCATGGGCTCTCTAAAGACTAGAACCTTAACTAAAGGACTGTTCCTCGTTGCTTTTTGCTCCCTTACAATGTTTTTCATATACTTTTGTATGCGCAAGGGTGATATGGAGTGTCCTGGTGCCTCTTCGCATCATTATATCTCTGGCCTAATGGGACCTAAGTATTTTAATTTAATATCCAATGAGACCCATCCAGACTATCCACCATTGAACCATCATACAAACTACTCAAGAGACAAATTCACTATCATTATGCCAACTTATGGTCGGAGTGCTCAGTTACTCCAGATTTTGACTCACTATTGTGGCATATCAAATGTTGCTAAAATATTGGTATTGTGGAATAATATTGGGGTTCCGATCCCTGGCCCGATAAAGTATTTTGAATGTCAAGTACCGCTGAAGATAAAGATTATGGAAGAGAATAAGTTAACATCTCGTTTTATACCTTACCCTGAAATAGAGACTGAAGGTATCCTAAATTAATAATTGTTAATGATGGTTTCAGTCTTTCTCTTTAGCAATATTTGCAGTTGATGATGACAGGATGGTCGACCCTGTTGGTATGGAAAAGGGTTTTGCAGCATGGAAGGTAATTAGCTGTGTAATAATACCTGTATATATATTCTAATGTTCATTGATTAGACATTCTATCATCTGATTGTTGGGTTTTCCATGAGACACTTTGGGATGTTAGAAAACGGCCAATATAAATATTGCAAGAGAATCGATTCCTATTCAATGATGCTCACAAACTCTGCATTCTTACACAGAATGTATCTTAAAATGTTCACAGAGTCCCTTCCACGTTCTATTTATGCTTTCATAGATGAGAACATGAATGGAGAGGATATAGCAATGAATGCTATGGTTGCTGACTATCTTAAAAAGATAGATAGACCACAGTGTCCTTGTTTATGGGTTGAAGCCTCAACTGAAGAGATACATATGAAGGGTAGGTCTTTGCTTTCATGTTTAATCTTGGTTTTTATGCCTTTTTAGGTCAATTTGTAAGTCTTTATGGTCGTGGAGATCACGTAAAAAAGAGAGATGAATGCTTAAACATGATAGCTAGTGAATACAAGTATATGCCTTTAATGCCTTGCAAATATGTAGTATAAGTTATTTTATTTTTATTTTTAAATCAGAGTATCATGAAAATTAAAATTATTATTGATTGTCGGGCGTGGCTCCATATTAATCATTGGGCGTGGCTATGATCTGCGTGAAAAGTAGCCACGCCCTGCTGTCAAAATGGCAGCCAAGTGTGATGTAAGTTCGAGTGTAAGTTCTTACAATCTTCTCATTGTATATAGTCCATTAACGGACTCAAGGCTTTGTGTGTATCTTATATATCCCCTCTTTTTTATAGTGTGGGCATCAGGATTTATCTTGGATAAACTGCTCGCTTTGTAGATCAGGCAGAACTGGTTTAGATACCTACCACAGGGCTTTAGCCAATCTTTACAATAATTCTTTAAATCAAACGACAAGAGATACCAAATATGAAGGAAAACAACTAGTAATGCACCATATATTATACTGCCCCTTTGTTCATTATTATTTGTAATAGGAGGAAGGAGAGAACGAGGTCAAGCCAGACTTAAACGAAGCGTTCTCTTCAGTGATGAGGTATTTAAACATGGCATCTAGCGAATGTGAAGTAAGTCATTTTGTATCCTAATTTTGATATTAGATTATGTACCTCTTCTATTGATATTACCAAGAATACTCTCGATATTACCGTTATAGAAATATCATTGCTCATACAAGTCACACCCACCTGGCTCACGTCAAGAAAAACATCAAGCGAGATACCACACTTCTCCTGATCCTGTTGGTAATTCAGTGAGTCCCTACTGACATTGAGCTTAATTTACATGCATCATTTATTAATTATTTTTAGTCTCAAAAAACATGTCATGTACACGTTGAAGCATGCCCAGGCACTTATTCAGTCACTGCCATGAAGCATTATAAGAGTAGTGAAAAATCAAAAAAATCTGTTAAATTAGAACACGGGAAATCTGTGAGTGTTAGTTTTGACTTGTAAATTAATAATTGATTTTTAATTTTTTTTAATCCACCAATTTGATTTTTATTGTTCATAATTATTATTGTATTATAGTTTTATTGAATGACTAGCAATTAATTAATAATTAATTTAATTGATTTGTGGTTATTATTAAATCTTAAGTGTCTACTATTAACGAGGTTATGAATATTAATTAGTAGAGCCCCATTTCAACAAAGCTGGTAAGGTAGTCAGAGTGTCTGACGCCAAACGAATATGAGGGGTAAATCCTCTTATCCACTTTAACCTATAGGGATTAGAAAGATAGGAATAAGAAATGGAATATAGAAAGTAGGAATTGGATGAGAATAGAAATTTAAAATTATAATACAGAGTATAGGAATGAGAATAGGGATTAGTGTATGAGAATGAGAATAGGGATTAATGTATGGGAATGAGAATAGGGATTAATGTATGGGAATGAGAATAGGGATGAGTGTATGTGAATGAGAATAGGGATTAGTGTATGGGAATGAGAATAGGGATTAGTGTATGGGAATGAGAATAGAGATTAGTGTATGGGAATGAGGCATACATTTTCAGGTTTGTAGGTCCCAGGTGCAGGTGCCTGGCTACGAGCTGCCGCCGGATAATTGCGTCCTTTCAAAGTGTAAGAGGGACATTTTGTTGAAGTAACAGATGAATCAGTTACTTTATAAGTTCCAGGCCCAGGAGTCTAAGAGAGAAGGAGAGAGAAATGCGTACATGTACATGTACTGTACATGTACATGTACAGTACATGTATACATAATGTCAAACGTGTCATGTAGAAATATTTTTAGAGGCTTTTAAAAGTTTTCTTGTCACACTTTGTGACTTTGTGCGAAACATTCCTCAAAAATAGTTTCAACTAGTGTCACTATTAGGTTATTCTCTTACTCTTTCTTAAAATTCTATTTATTTCCTATTCTCATTATCCAATTACACACTATAACATTGCTGTTCCTTTGTGACATTCAATTGCTCTCAAGGGACAAAGGAAGAGGATAGAGCAGAGGAATTTTACTATAATTGCATGTACAGTACACGCACTATAATTACATGTGCAATACATGTACATGACCTTCCGTTACTTAGAATCACACTCATTGCTATCCCAATGGGATGCTTTAGGTGTGTGACTGTGTACTCCTTTTAGCATACCAGTGGTATCCACACCCAATCATACAGTACATACATTAAATCACACAGGATTTGCTGGCTGTGATGTAACCTAATTAGAACGAGTACCATGCATTGTTCGGTTGCTATAATAGCAGTCAACAGGTTGCTATACTATCAGACACAGGAATTTATATCCATTACGTAGTAGCACTCTATCTGTCTACTACTATATGTATATTTAATGATAAAGAGAGACAGTAACAGTCCTATATATGTGGATATGAATTCTTTGTACGTGTGTGCATTCATCAACCATTTCCCTTTTCTCTTTCTCCTCTCTCTCTTTACAATTGTACATGTACAAATGTACCTTTTGAAAATCCTGATGAAAGCTCCCAATTAATGACCTACCAGTCATTGAAGGAGCTGATCCACTTTTCTTGTTAACCACACGCGGTCCTATCATTGGTGGCAGTGTGTATGTACTAGGACTCGGGACATTGTCTTTTTTAAGATATTTTGTGCGACTCCCAAATGAGAAGGAGGGTGGCTGAGCTGTTTTAAGCGGCTTGGTATTTTCAATGTGATACGTATCTGTTAAAGAGAGTGGGAAGGAAAAGGGAGGGAGGGAGAGAGGAATGAAGGAGGGGGTGGCAAGTTAAATGGCTGCTGGCTTTGTGAAAGGGTTTATTGTAACAAGATATCATCAATGTTACACTACACCCAGATTATACCCGATTATTGCATTATACATGTCGAGAGTGCATTAATCATTGCATAACTCCAGTATTGAAATTTATTATTAGCTGTGTGAAGAATGATCGTCAAGTATGAGTTAATGCTCTGTTGTTCCTGATGCAGCTCTTTGTGCCTCCTTTAATGTTTCGCGTTAATTTTATTATTTTAAAAATAATACGAGGCTGATGCTTGATTAGCGCCTCTAGTCTGCATACCGTTGCACTTATAAGGCATCCTAATTTGTTCTCCGTCTCTTAAATGCTGAGAGGGAGATAGAAGCCAAGACACAACAGGAAAGATGGTGTGTGGGATTGTAGCATGTCTCAGAACAGAAACGTGATACTCATTACTATTAGTAAACAGTGGGTCAGTAAGGGCTGCATGGTGTACTTACTCAAATTATTCTATAGGCTAAACAACAGTTGTGCCATCTTTCCCCCAACTGCTAATTGGTATAAAAATTGCATTTTTATGACCATTTTTGGTGTATGTTTCTGCGTGGTGACCGCACACCTGAACAAACAGTGCATATGCAATTATGTATGTACTTGTTGTTTTCCTCTCCTTTCTCTGACCACACACGCTCAATTATAATGCAGCTTTGGTTGTTTATCTTACAACAAAATAATTGTTCACTTTGCATGTACATGTACTTGTAGTAAATTCTTGGATGTCTACTTAGTCAAGTAAGAATGTGCATGTATTTTTAATGCGAAATTTGCTAATTATTGTTAATTGAAGCTAATACTGAAACCACTAAGTAATATAACTCTATGATTTTATTAACACAATTATAATAATTATTGCACCTATAACAAGTCAAGCCTCTCAGTGTTCCCCTTCCCTCTCTCCGTATCCTCTCACCACCTCTCATTACCTGGAGAAGGATAATTCCCTGATCCGGATGGCAGATTGATCCGTCCATACATTGTAAAAGAAGGCATTGTGGACATGCCATTTCTCGTGATGTATGGATTTAAAAAGTACACTGGCCCCGGACTATTCATCGCTGAAGCTTTTTTAGGTTTTGTGCCAAACGAGTAAGCTGGTTTTGATACTTTAGTAGGATCGTGCTTGACATGACCGCAAGTGCTAGGCAGCATGTACCTTGCAGGACCTGGGCCCCTCTCCATGCATGATGGCCTCGGTTTTTGTATTTCCTCTGCTTCTGCTTGTTTGTTTGCTGCAGTAGCAGTTTCTTCCATGATACACTGGGAGTCTTGCGTATAGGGAATGCTACAGGGTATGTTTGTCTTCTTGTTGTTTTTGTTGCAGTTTCAATGTCTACACAAGAGAAGGAATTTATTGCCTATTCATGATGTAACTGTTTTGCAATTCACAAACTCGTGACTTAACTACTTATTTCAGTGTTTACCTAAAACATCCACGCACTTTTATCTCTCTCTCCTGCAGCTTGCAATTAGTTCAAGGCCACTAACGAGCAAGGTGTTAGGTAAGTGGGAGGAGCTGAGACCATAGAAATTTCCCGCGTGTTGGCGGGAGGGGGCACGTTTACGGAATGGTCACGGAGATAAATCCGTATACTTTGCATTGACACTTTGGTCCTATAAAAAGAGACGAGCTGTATTGCCCGAATACCTGAACATTTCAATAGAGCCATCACTCCCTCGTAGCCTCCAGCAAAATCTCTCCACCTCCTCTTGCAATTAAAAGAAAGGGACCGTTTTTCAATAGCTCCCAATGGCGAACTGCTCCCTCCTCCTAAGTCTTCTCACCTTGGCTCTCCTTTATCATGGAGCTAGCACCTCACAAGAAGGTAAAGACTGCTCACAAATAATATAAAAATTAATGTATGATAACTAATTGCAATTATCACAATAGCATCTTGCATTAGAGTAGCATTGTATGGATAAGGCACTATATTGTACCTGTGTACAAGATATATACTTCTTTTATGAGAATCTTTCTTTCAATAATTATGTGACAAATACATGTACAGACACATTAAGTATGTGATAAGTGCATATTATCCTTGGAAAAACATGTTGTCATGTGATAAGGACATGTATGTTCAGCTGTCCAAGAGTCCTCTTTTTCACTTCCTTAAACTGATAAAGGGAATCGTGACCTCTTGATAAGGATATACTATAGATCATTCAACCCATTTCTAGCTGAACATATTTTAGTATTGCACTGATTGTACTAACAAGATTTGAGTGTTGTGCCTTCAGCTTCATTTTCTGCATTAATTGCATTATCTATAGCCTTATGTTATGTTATGTACATGTATATTGATTGTATTGTTGGCTGTAAAGTTTATGTTCGCATTTTAACACATCCTGTCCTACATGTATGTACACGTACATGTCTCAGGGGAACTCTGACAATAATGAATGTGTAAAGCTGCTAGCTTAGTCTATTGAATGGGCTAATTTCAGACTAATAATCAAATAATATTGATATTATTAATTATATGCCAGACATTATATTTCTCAGTATTGGATTGTGTTGAACATGGTCTCCAAGGTGATGTGTGCGTGTCAGCCTGTGATTATATTATGTAAACATTGTTGGACAGTACTTGCTAATTGCAGGATAATTCAACGGTGTTGTCTCTGGCTTTAATCTATTAACTTTCATGTTTTTAAAGGATGTTTGATAACAAGACATACCATGTTCTTTCTTGTTGTTGTTGTTTCAAAGACGAAAGGGAGAGAAAGAGAGAGAGGGAGGGAGAGACCAAGAAGGTGCAGTACATTCTTGTGGGTTAATGTAATTATTGCTTCTGCTTTGCGTCAAGAAACCACTAATGACCAGTTGTCTTTTCTTTGATGTGGTCTCAAGAGAGAGACAGACAGAGTGAGAGAGAGAGAGGGAAAGAGAGAGAGAGAGAGAGAGGACAAACATGATTTTATTAAGGAATCATATAGTTATCACATCAGTGTCTTGTCTGAATAGAGAATCATCAACACATTTAGAATATTTAGTTCATGACAACTGTTGCTACTCACACTATACCAGCTGCAAATAACTACACCACTTGATCATCTTCCCTTTCTTTCCTCTTCTATTCTTCTCTCTCTCTCTCCTTCTTTCTCTTTTACAGATGCTTGCCAGTCAACATTCGATTTCAATGTCTTCCATTACTACACATCAGTGCCTCACAGACAGAAACTACACCCAATCCTCATGAAGAGTGGCCCTCAACTCAGCGGCAGGGATCCCAACGAGCCTAGCTTTGAGTTTACCGGAGGCTCTGGTCTTATTGTCAACGACACAAAATTAATTAATAAAATGTCTTCGTTGTTGTGCTCGGCGAATGAACTTGCTGTGTATAGCTCGGTGTTTTTCAAAAACGATCAAAGTGGTGGTACTTCACTTGAGTTGTATCATGTGAACGAGACCTTTTTGGGATTGTCAGTCTGTCGCATCTCCAATGTGATACATGTCGCTTACCGACATGGCAGCCGACTTCGTTTTGAGACGTTTCCTTTTAAGTTTTCAAGCGGAAAGTGAGTGAAGGAAATAGTATAATTAATATCTCACACTTTCTTCATTTCCCCTTCTCTCTCTTTCTCTTCTCCCCCCCTCTCTCTCTTTCTCTTCTCCCCCCCTCTCTCTCTCTATTTTTCCAGGTGGTATAAGCTGGCAGTATTATTTTCTGGTAATATGTTAACTGTCTTTGTTAACTGCTCTCTCTTGGAGAAGAGGATTGTACCAATGCCCGACTATTGTCCTAGTCCTGATAAACTTAGCCTCATTACTGGCTCTGGCTGTCTCACTAAAGAGCTCTCTCCTTGTACAACTGGATTCACCGTAAGAGAGAGGGGGGAGAGTTGTACGGTAGAACATTCCAATGATAATACGTGTAATCGTAGTAGATGTAATCATGATAGAGATAACCTAATGATCATTATTATTATTAATGATAATAATGATAATTAACATAATTATTATTGTGATAGGGATCATTGCAAAGTGTAGAGTTGAATATAGGGAAGTCTGCTAGTGTTAAAGGATGTACTGGATTGAATAAATCAGGTAATGGAGGAAATACAGTCTTGCTTTACTGTAATTGAGGTTATGCTTGCATGTACATAAAATTAAGCATACTATGTACATGGGCTATTAGTAAGTAGGATTCACCCCACTTCAAAATAGCTGTCAGGACTTTTGCAGCTTTGTCATTCTGGGAAAATGAGCTCCTATGCTTATAGTACAAGGTATTTTAAATGGCCGTGACTCGAAAAATTGAAGTTGGAATAAGCTCAAACTTGTTATGTAGCATAAGGACATCAATATGTATCAGAAAATGTAATAAAAATTGGGGGTGATTTTGGAGCCATTTTTTGGAAAAACCATGGGCTATAGCCTTTTCATAATAAATTTTTTGAGGGCTCTGTTCCCTTTTCAACTGGGCTATAGCCTTGGGTATTTTTTAGAAATTGGCTCATTTACAAAAATGGCCATAACTTGAAAAACTGAAGTTGAAATCAGCTCAAACTTGCTACGTAGCATAAGGACATCAATATCTATCAGAAAACGTAATAAAAATTTTGAGCATTTTTGGGGCCATTTTTTGAATATCAAATTTTTTATGTTTGTCTCTCCTTTACAATACAGCTCAGTGTCCTGTGTGTGGCTCATTCCTCACTTTATTAAAGAACCATTACAAATTGCAAGAGACACTCTCCTCAGTTCAGTCCTCACTGGACAATTGTACCAAGACTCTAAACGCCATCAATTGTTCTAGCTCCACCCACTCATCAACCTCATGCATTATTCATAAGAAGAATTACCCCGACGGAGCCTTTGTAAGAAACTCAACCGGTCACATCTGCTACTGCAGAGTAAGTTATATTAATAGTTAATAATGTTTATTGATAGTTATTAGGATGGTGTCGCACATTGCATTGCTAATTCTTCTATTTCAATGGTGGCCGAAGAAAGTCAGCAAACTAGAACTTTGACCCCGCCCACTTCTGCTCCAGCAGCCACTAAAAGTTAGTGCAATCATTAAATAATTATTATTCGTAATTATTGTTGACTAATATAATTTTTATTTTTCTGTTTTAGCTTGCCTAGCTACTGATACTTTTGGCCCTACAGTTACGCTAGCTCCTGGAGAAAGTAAATATTTCCCGTTGCCTAGTGAAAATAAATGTGGTATCATAACATGTAAGGTAATTTAAATATTCTCTTTTTAAATTTTCATTATAATATGCAATTCTATTAGAGTCTCAGTAGTAAATTCATATTTAACAGTGTCGAAAAGATAGATTGTGATAGTAATGTCCCATCCTCTAATTGCAACAATGATGATGAAAGCAAGCAGAAGCTTGCTGTCTGTTGTGGTCGCTGCACAGGTAAGTACGCTTTTATCATGAAGGCAAGGTTCATGTACTTTTTCTTCTTCATAGTATGTGAATCAGTTGCCAGATGTCCAATGAATTCTTCCTGCGTTCCAAAAGGTGTTGATTACGATTGCGAATGCAATAAAGGTTTTGAAATGACCAACTCCAACACGTCTTGTACAGGTATGTGATGTCACATGATGTCATATTTGATGTCACTGAATCTTATGACATCACTCAGTTACTACTCTCTTCCTTCCTTCCTTGTAGATATTAATGAGTGCAGTACTAATACTCATAACTGTCCTTCTGATGCTTCTTGTATCAATTCTGTTGGTTCTTTCACTTGTAAGTGTCCAGCTGGTTTTGAACTATCAGAAGAAGGCAATAACACATTGAAATGTATCGGTAAGTAACAAAAACAACAACAACATACTAAGTAACAAGAAGAGGATTGATGATATGATCACAATTAATTAATTTATTTGTAGATATTGATGAATGCAATGTTGTTGGAATGGCTAGCTGTGATGCTAACAGTAACTGTATGAATACTAGAGGAAGCTATAACTGTCAATGCAAGGAGGGTTATACTAAAAATGAAAATGGACGCTGCATAGGTAAGGGAAATCCTACTGTGTACTCTTACTTAAAACCTGATATATTACTAGTTTTATGCAAAAAAGAATCCAGATATTATACATTGATATTAAACTTTTTCTTGCAGCTTTCTGTGAAAGGAAGTGTCTGAATGGTGGTGAATGCATAGCTCCAAATACATGCAGGTGCGTCCCTGGTTTTAATGGCCAACAGTGTCAGAATGACATCAACGAGTGCTTGGGACAACACGAGTGCACCCACAATAACTCAAAGTGTATCAACACTCATGGCGGATACTTCTGCAATTGCAAGGAAGGATACCAATGGAAGGAGTCTACTAGAGAATGCATTGGTAAGAATATAGATGGAAGGATAGAATTAGCAAGATTATTATTTATGTACATGAATTTATTTTAGACTTTTATCATTATTAATGATAATATCATTTCATTGTAGATGTGAATGAGTGTGCTAGCGGTATTCATTATTGTCCTGAGGGTAGTAGGTGTTTAAATACGTTTGGCGGATACCAGTGTCCTTGCAAAGGAGGGTCACAGTGCACCGGATACTGTAAGAATGACAAGGATTATATAGCAGAAGGAGCTTCGATATCACTTGGAGTTGATCAATGCGATAGCTGTGTTTGCAAGGTAATGCAGACTTAGCACAATATTGATCACATCACTGCATTGTATTAGTGTGATTTTGAGACTATTTTAACGTTGTTTTGATGCTTTTGTAGGAGAATAGTTTAATGTGTAAAAGGAAGGAGTGTAAATGTGATGACAGAGATGTCTCTAAGGTCTGCTGTCCACATTGTTTTGAAAAAGGTACAGTATTTATTTATTTATTTATTTATTGATTTATTTATTTATTTATTCATTCGTTCATTCTTCTTTGTTCAGATGTTTGTCACATCGATAAAGTTGCTGTTGATGTTGATGACTATCTTGTTGATCCTCAGAACAGATGTATCAGAAAGAAATGTGTTAAGGTCAGTAAACTAAGTAACTATGAATATAATAGCTTTATAATTATACCCTATACCTCTCACAGGACTCTCATGGTCGCTTGAGCATATCAACAACAGATCTATCAGCTAGTTGTACTCCAGTCAGTGGGTGTCCTGCTAATCATACTTACATACCTGAAGGTGGCTGTTGCCCTGTCTGTCAATGTAAGATCATCATTGCTATTATTATTATTATTATTATTATTATTATTATTATTATTATTATTATTATTATTATTATATTTCTTTATAGTGCCTTCATGTACAGCTACAAACAGACCACCTGCTGTTACTCTGAACTGTGAAACTTGCACCTGTGATGTAAGTACAATAGTACAATCGTCTTCTATTAATCTATTCTCATTCCTTATAGGGTAGCTCTTGGTCCTGTACTAAGACTACAGAGTGTCCTTCTCACCAGCAGTTAGGCTGTTCAAAGGATGAATTAATCAAACTACCAAACCAGTGCTGCCCTGTCTGCCATCAAGAGATCATTGATAAACTCACATGCTCTTCTACTTAATTATTTTTACTTTAAATCTCTTCTCCCTTTCTCATTTTTATATTTTGTTACGAACCATTCTCATTTCATATTATTATTATTATTGTGATTGATTGCTACTTTCATCATAAATATCTGTATGTGTATATCTAATAATCATTATTATTAATTGTTATTATTATTATTATGTTTTTGTATCTTTTGTCCTTTATCCAAAATAATTGTATGTTCAAAATTATTAATAAAAATAAAAAAATAAAATTACATGCGTGGGTGTTGAAATACCTCTTCTACAAGCCACGCCTGTCAATTAATTACGTACAGGCTGCTAAAACGGATGTACGTGAATTGCTGTCCCACTGTACAGTGCTTTTTTTTAACAAAAAGAGTCTGAGCAGATTTTAGATGGAGAGAAGGTCATTACACGAAGCAGAGAAGAGTGCAGCCTACGACTACCTGTGTCGACTGGATGAGGCTAAGAGGTAATCTCTTCGGTATAAATTAGAAAGAGCGTTCATCAACTGTTTGTAGTAGTAGACTACCCAATTACACAGATCAGCAGTAGAAAATGATGGAATTATGAAATTGTTGTAATCATGCAATCTTAAATGCTGCCCTCTCTCCTTTCTGTCTTCTTTTCTTTTCTCTCAATAGTAGCTATGTGGGCACATGATGGAATGTTATACATAGAGCTTATATTCTGCTATAATGTTGTACTGCCTGTAATCTCAATGATAATAATCATTTAATTGCCTGTATCATAATACTGAGTGCATTTGTACTTTAATGGTGATTGTGTATGTGTGTATAGCTCTACTTGAAGGGAGAGAGTGAGAAAGTGCAAGAAGGAATGTTACAATTGTTATCTTTCTCAAAAACATGTTATTCCCAGAGGAACGGACATGACCATGACCACTGTGTATTGTATTATCATTCATTTATCACCATTTTAATTATTATTATTATTATTATTATTATTATTATTATTATTATTATTATATTATTATTATTATTATTATTATTATTATTATTATTATTATTATTATTATTATTATTATTATTAGATGGATTGAGAGCATCATCTCTGAAGATTTACCTCCGGTTACTGAGTTTGAAGATGTAATATCAAATGGTGTATACCTTTGCAAACTTGGAATGAAATTATTACCAAATAATCCTGAATGGAAAAAAGTAAACTTGATAATTATACTGAATGTGCATGCATAGTGTAATGTATGCTACTGATGAGAGGTGTTGAATGCATTGAATAAGTTTCTGCATATTCAGATAATAAAAAGCAACAAAGCACTCTATTATGATTAGCATGCATATATTATTATATATTATGCTACTTTGTTTGTTATTGTTGTAGGTTTACGATTTAGATCAAACTAAATTCAGGGAGAGAGGGCTTGATTTCAGGCACACCGATAATATCAATTTCTTTTTAAACTGTCTACCAAAACTAGGACTACCCAAAGTGCGTGCAATAATAAAGAAATTTGAAAAATTTTACCCCCCCCCCTCTCTCTCCCTCCCTCTCTCTCTCCCTCTCTCCCT